AGAGAGAGAGAGAGAGAGAGAGAGAGAGAGAGAGAGAGAGAGAGAGAGAGAGAAAGAGTAAAATCGTTTGAGTTAATGACCAAAAGAGCAAAGCACTGTACAACATTTTAATAAAAGAAATTTGAGTGGGCACCATTGGGTAAAACTTGTTTTAATAGTATTTAGATCACAAGACAATTACTAGACATTGCTAAAAACGAGTTATTCGTTAGTCTATAAGACTAACTACAATGATATTAATTAAAAGAAAAATGTGACAGCTACATAAGGGGTGTACATTTTATATAATAAATATGAGTTACATATGTCGTAAAGGATATGCAATCTTTATATGTCGACCTGTAAAGTCGCTATCAAATTTACACACACTTCTCATCGTGGAGAGAAATTTTATGCAGAAAATGGCGCAGGTGAAAACTCGATCGTCGTAAATGCGATACGCGAAAAGTCGTTTTTCACATCTTCCGTCGCGCCGCGCTAAATTCAGGTCTCGGTTCTCTGCCTTTCCTTGATTACCCAAACGCGGTAGTTGGTAACGACGTCGTAAAACGATTTCCAGCCCTCGTCGTCGTCGTCGTAGCTTGTCGTTCGTCCGGTCATGACGACGTGCTCAAACCCGTCGAAGTTTCGTTCGCGAATCGCGCCCATGAAACATGAAATTTTCTCAAGGTACACACTCACGATCACCGGCGGCTCGACAATCCAGAAGTCGAAGCGCGGGTCGTGCGGAGGACGGAGACGAGGAGCGGGAAAAGTGGGAGAGGGCGAGGAGGGGGGCTTGACCCCCGCGTCGGGTAAGGCCCGCAGTCAGCTGACTCGGGCGATCTCTCAGCTGAGGCGGCGTATCGAGGCCTTCCGTGAGATATTTATCGGACACGCTCGCGACCGCGAGAATCTTGTCTGCACGCGCGCGCGCGCACATTAAAGTACTCCGAAATATCCATTAAGCCTATCCCGATATAGGCTGCGTGACGCTGACGACGTAAGACAAAAAATTGATAATGTGAAAATAATTTGTTTTTTAATTACATTTATAAAGCAAGAATATGCCTCACCATTAAATTTACGTCTTGCAATAATGAAACTTTCTTCTTGTTACATTGATCCAACAACGGATTTACTCAAAGTTTTATATATATATATATATATATATATATATATATATATATATATATATATATATACATACCGAAATTTCTACGTTACATTTTTTACACGACAACCCGACAGACTGAGGCACTTAAACTTTAGAGCAATTTTAAGTATATTTGATCACGAAATCTAGCAAAGTTGAGTACTTTATGACTGATTAGATCGCGCTCATATTTATTACATGAAATGATGAAATAAAAATATGAAAGAAAGGCGAAAAAAATTATGAGAATTTGCTCCAAATAATATATCATGACGAATGTAATATGAAAACGTAAATATAACTTTTAGTAAGTTTGTTGCTGCATCAATACAACAAAAATGTGCACTACTGTGTGATGTAAATTTAATAATTAATTCATACAGTCGCATTTTTCCGATCATTTTTCCGATCATAATTAGTAGCCAATAATGTGACACTTACTTGTCCTCTCTCTCTAGTGGTTAGATAAAAAAGTTAGCTGACGATCAAAAAAACGAAATTACAATTATAAGATGAAAAATCATAAATAATTTCTAATCAATAATGTAACGTTCAGCTTTGTTTTTCTAAGATTTTTCTTAAATTAACGTAATCCCAATTTTGATTTGCTATTTAATTTTGAAATTCTAGTGATGATCTAACAGCTAGATTATGTATTTTAAAATAGACAAAGCATCATCTATCATATTTTATATGTGTAATGACTAGACAACGGTTAGACCCCGGCCACAAACCCGATTCTATATTTCAGTGAATGGTCAATCAGTAGGAAATTAATAATAGATTAGAAAATTTTATCTAGTTTGTGTTAGCTAGCTACTAGCTTTCGATTCCGACTTACTTATTACATTTTTACTCGGGTAACTTGCCTTAACGTGTTTCCAATTACTTTTTACACACACACATACATATAGAAGGAAAATAAAATAATAGCAATTACAAACATGTTTTTATCAAATTATCTTTCGAAATGTAAAGGAGAATGATTTATATTAGCAATCTAAGATTAACTCGTTACTAATCCTTGCAGCTAACGTAAGCCGCATTCTCCAATACGTCAGAATCTGCGTTATTGCAGACCCAGATGGATCACGCGATAATTAGCGCGGCTCGAGAGGCGCAGGCGCTTTTGGCGTTCTAATCGTTAAGGAATGTTACTCGAGATCGCGACTTGATTTAAAAGCGACGGTTTCCGCGATGGTATCTCGTGCGCGCACTCGAGAGAAGGCGAGAGATCGGGCCTTGCGTCGCGGGCGAACCTTGCCGATAAATTAAGTACGTGGTCGAGAGACCGGGGTCGCGGACTGATCCTTATCCGAATCACTCTACATCGGTAGACACGGTCTAACAGTAGGCGAGCTGCTTATCTCGCGCGCGCCAAAGACAATCGCTCTATCCTCGCTTTCGCCTCCACTTCCGTCCATAGGTCGGGGGGAGGAGGCAGGGAAGGAGGGTGGGAGGGAGAGAGGGAGGGAGGGAGGAAGGTAGGTTCGAAGGCTCGTCTTCGAAACCTGATTTTCTCTCCGTTTCACTTTCACAGATTGCGCGGCGAACGCAGGCCACGCCGAGGCGGCGTTAAACTTCCTCGCCGATGTGTCGGATGAAGGAAGGCGAGAGGGAAGGTCGAGAAAGGGAAGAGAAACAAAGAACGGCACGAGCCGCTTTGATGTACCTTCGTCGGCCAACAGATCCTGGCGAGAGGGAGGTGAGGGAGAACTTATCTTCCGTTGCTCTCGTCTCTCCCGCGATCCCATCGATTCCCGCTTCCCGACCTTGCGCGGGCAAACAGCGTCTGAGTCTTGACCGATCGTTAATTCGAACCCTATATTGCCGAGAAAAATCGCGGGATTCCCTCAACAAATGATCGGACAGGTGATAATATTTCTTTGTGGACATCGTCGGATATTTGATGAATATTTTATCGATGCAGACAAAGTCTCTCATGACTTGAAATCAATGTGCCGGGTTCGAATTAATCGAAAAGTTTAGTTGACTAAAATAATTAGCAAATCAATCGTCGAAATTGATCAATCATAATCAATCATATATGTAATCACAAATAATTTAATTGAGTGATGAAATTAATTATAAATCAAACTTTTTTATTACGTGCACTGAGAAAAAAATACTTGAAAATTTATTTGTATGTGTGAGATATAAAGTTTGTTCATAGAGAGAAGTAAACTTTATTTTACAGAAATAGTTATAGTTTATTTTACAGAAATAAACTTTACATCTCACAAATAAATTCTCAAATATTTTTTCTTAGTGTAGTTTTCCCTCAGTTTACTTAAAATTATTTAAAAAATATTTTTTTACGTGATGTGAAGAAACGTTCGTTAGTTTACACGTTTGGGTCAATTAGATTCCCATTTAGAGTCAAAGTCGATTCTCGCTTCTGTTTAGACAGCGACAAGACAGGAGTCCATCAATCTTCCCTCAGAATAATCTTCAGTATTTTTGAATTAGAATGATCGAGACGTGACGACTTCAATAAAGAAACATTGAAGAATTCAAATATAATAATTTACAAGACGGTCTCGCTAATTAAAATCGAAATTGTATCATTCGATGGACATAAGAGTTGAAAATTGCGATTCTTATTCGTACACCTTTAATAAATCCTACATTGTATCGAGTATACAGCTGCACGAAACGTTCCGAGCTACCCGATATGTAAGATTTATTAGGTGTTATTATTATCATTGATTGACACAATATTGGAGTGTTTCGACGGCGGATTGACAGACTTCTGTCTGTTTCTAGATGGCTAATGAGCCCCAAGCTTTATTCGGATGCAATTTGTGTAGAACCCCAGCCCAAAAAAATTCGTATCCTCGTATTCCATCAAAATCCGGTTGCAGGCTCCGGCCGAGACACCTAATCCGGCCTGTGCGCGCGTACATTCGATGCAACCTCCTGCTGCCTAGCCTACTAACTCGCACGGAGGAAGCGCTCAAGGAGGCACGGTTGTATCGCGTACCAGGAAGCGAGGCGTCCAATTAGGCAGCCGCGAACAGGAAGCCCCCAACTTCCCGATCGTAAAATATATCCGTCCCGATAAGCGACCGGGTCCTGGCTGGAGTGTCCTAATGAGATGCACGGGGAAGGTCTCTCGGCTTTCGCGTCACGTTTCTCCATCCCCCGTGCGGCGCGACGACGCGAGTTCTGGCTATGAGACACACGACGATATACTCCTCTCCTCCGATCGCTGGCCCGTCGGCGCTCCTCGGGATCCGAATTGTGGATTCCCGGGAGACGACGAGAGACCTCGGCTCTTATCGTCTTCTTTCTCCCCCGCTCTCTCTCTCTCTTTCTCCCCCCTCTCCCTCTCTCGCTTGTACCTGGTGTACGCGCGACGACCACTTCCTGGATCGGTCCTTCTCCCTCACCCGCGCGTATTATCCCTCGAAACGCAGCGCGCGGATGCAGGGAGCGACGGCGAGAGTCTCGGGGGGGACCCGAGGATGCCGCGCACGTTCTCCCTCTGCTCCCTCCCCACGGGAACGTCCGTTTCGCGTCCACGTCCGCACCGTGACGCATACCGTTATGCGCGTTTTCGGTCGGAAAGGACAAAAAAGAATGCAGAAAAAACAAGGAGAGCGGGGGCGACACGGAGAATGGAGCGTTTCGGCACACGCGCGGCAAAAAACGCGACGCATCCTGTGCCCCCTGACCCTTCGCGATCACTTTTCCGTCTGCTGTACCGTCCGGTTCTGTCGCCTGACCGACCGATCGATTGATCGACCGGCAGGCGACCGGTCGATCGATCGATCAGCCGAGCTATGAGATCGTGAATGCAAACGTTCTATATCCGACTACGACTACGGCAGCTCCCTGTGCCTTCTCTCTCTGTGTGTGTGTGTGTGTCTTTTTTCACTTTGTTTTTTCTTTCTTTAAGCGCCTCTTTTTGCGCGTCCCGTCGTCGTGTGTTTTGTACGCTCCGTCTCGCTCGCTCGCCTGCGTATTCGATTACGCGTGTCTCGTGTTACGGCATCGGGCGCGTGCAACGTTCGCGTCGCCGCTGCAACTCGGGATCCGAGAGCGTCGACAACTTCTTCGAGATGCATCGCGCGGAGCGCATATCGCGTTACGTTTACGTTTCAATTCGGGAGACGCACCGCGCGAATGCAATAATGCAAATTTGCACGAATCGTAGACTGTCATTTGTAATTCTGCCTTTTTAATTCTGCCTTTTAATTTGTAATTTTGCCTTTGTGTAAGCTGGAAAGCATGAGATTGACGATTGACGTCGTGTCGACATTTTCGTTCAACGTTAGTCCTGTAGTTGCACTTGAAGAATCAATGATAAATCTTGATATTCGACACTATACAAACTATTGACTTGATGTTTTAAATGTTTATTTGTTATCGTTCTCTATTGAGTATCAAAGATTATTTCGAAATTATTTAATATTCCACTATGTTAATACATCACTTGTATTTTATTTTATTCTTAACTACAATTAGCAACGTTGAACACATGTTTCTTGCTCAGCTGTGAGAAAACATATTTAAAAACTGTAAGAAAACAAATATAATGATATTGTAATATTATTATAATATTATAATAAATATTATATTTTAATTATATATATAATATAATAAATATAATAAATAACATTTTATTATTAAATTTATTATATTTTATTATACATATAATAGAAGAATATTAAATAATTGTCGAGGATAAATAATATCGAGGGACTAAAATGAGTAAAACGACAAACTTCTTTTATTCATAATTTTGTTATAATTTCTTTTGTTTTGGTGTTAAAGATTTAAAAGACTGGAAAGGAAGGAGTTGCGTAAGAGTAACAGTGATAACAGTTGCGGAAAAATCCGCGAGAGAACCAAAACAATGGGGATAAAGGCCTACTTCATCGCGTCGCTCACTAACTATAGCCGAGAGATCGAAACACCACCAAAACATATAGGACTTTTGACGGTCAAGTTTACCCTCGTGCGTCGCGCACTTCTCCAGGTGTTCCATCCGAGTTGACGGGCGACACGCGTGCCGCGAAGCACGTGTATATCGGTGTGTTGTTCGTTATTCTCGCCGGGTGGTCAAAATATTACGTCGATTGACAGAGTCAATCGGCCTCTCGTCGGTATCGCGTTACTTAACGCGCGTTTCTTTGGTCGAATCGTATATACGTGAGTGTCAGTGCTAGTGTCAGTGCCATAAGTGAATATTTGAAGTGCTACGATGGGATCAGGAGCTAGGAGCAAGATTCTGGAACAGGAAGTCAGAACGGATGATCCAGCACGCGTCCAGACGCAGGTAGTGGTACATCATATATTTCCAGGTATGCAAAGTTATTCGTTGTACAAAAGATTTCTGGTTTTAATTGACGTGTGACGAACTTGCCGAGAACTAGGAGGTACTCGAGTCGAAATTTATAGACCGGCATTCATAATCTGTAATTATTCGACGAACTATGTACTTAACTATATAACTTGACAGTTATAGTTTCGTGAATTCCTGATTATCTGTTACACAATTTATTATTTATATTTATTTTACACAACAAAAGTATAATGATTGAAACTGCAGGTCAATGATCCATGAATTTAAATCTGAAATTAATTAAATCCTCAATCAAAGATCATAAATAATTTATAACTGTGAATACCGGTCTTAGAATGCAAGTTTTGCAAATACTTTTTTGCATGTAATAATGCTTTTTGAACAGCGTGGCATCTCTTCTTAAATTTGTCAACACCTTCTTTTCACTTTTGTTTAATCTCATTATTGTATCAAATCCAAATTTTCTTTGACAGACAAGGTTATTAGACACACAACTAGTATACATATTACAAATTTTGTAATATTAACACTTGATATAATTAATAATATTACTTACTAAAATTAAGAGTAAAAATGAAATATAAATATGGAATATTGAGATAGTTGAATCTTTTAAATAACTTTGGAAAATGAGTCATTCTTTATAAAATTCGAACTCAGAGAAATTTCTGTTTCTTGTACTGAAGAAAAAAATACTTGAAAGTTTACTTGTGGGATATAAAATTTATTTCTATGAACAAATTGATTTATTTCTTTGTATTCCATATCTAGATTTTCAAATATTTTTTTCTCAGCGCAAATAAACATTTGTAGTATAATTTGTAGTATACATTTGTAGTATAATTTGTAGTATACATCAAGATAGGACAATAGCCCGTATAATGCATTGCATCTCAAGATTCCCTATTAGTCCTCCAAATTCAGCAGAATTCACGGGACTAACGTGATATCAAAATTCGTCTCGGTATGCTGATTAAAGCATCATCAAGTAATTTTCAACGAACATGCAATAATCTTTCTACGAATAATATCAATGTCGTCCTCCGTCCATTAATAAACAATTATTTATTATTTTTCCTTCTGTTTCGATAATGGTAGCTTCGCGCACGTTGCAAAGAAATTTTCGATCGTCCTGTCGCCTGATTCGCATACGACGAGTGCTGATACACAATCTTCAATAATTCATGCAGCCATGTGCGACTATAATTTATGAAAATGGCGTGCGATATATTTGCAAGTGGCGTGAGTAGAAGAGAATCCCGTAGATGTGCGCTTTCTCGTGCGTACTTCGAGTGCCGGACTCAGCGCGAGAACCCGGCATGGGGCGAGCATCGGTCCTCGTAAAAGACTTTTATGTGTTTGCGAACCTCCGAAAATAGCTACACAATCGGAACCGGTTTCGGTAGAATCGTTGCGATTTCCGTAGGACTACCTCTTGAGCAAGCGTTCCGTCACGCTAATATACGCGCGACACAGTTGCACGTTTCCTGCCTCTTTCTTCCTCACCTTCTCTTCCTCTTCCTCCTCCTTCACCCTCTCTTCCTTCTCCGCGCTCATCTAATGAGATTATTTATATATCTTGACGGAATTATCAGTTTCCGATCTCGTACCTCTTTAAGCCCACGAAGGAAAACAGTAGGAGAGAAAGAGAGAAAGAGTGAACCAACATCTCGAAGTTGCGGACGTTCGCGATGGGGAACAATGACCTCCCTTCTTTTTCGCGCG